GAAGAGCGGGGAAGGTTCAGAGGGGTGGCGTTTGTGTTCCCAAGTAACCGTTAGGCGTAATGGAGCCCCACTTTCCTGGAGATGGCTGAACACCTGCCAGCCAATGGGAAGTAGGGAATTAATTGTTTTGCTTTGCTTGCATGCATGGTTTTTGCTTTACCTATTAAACTGTCTTCATCTTAACCCACGAGGTTTCTCGCTTCTGCTCTTCTGATTCTCTCCCCCATCCCACCTCAGGGGAGCGAGCAAGTGGCTGCATGGTGCTTAGCAGCTGGCCAGGGCTAAACCACAACATCCCCCTAATGGTGACCTTGCCCAGTCCCAGGGGAGAAGCAAACTAGAATGTAACTAACAGAAACCATCAGAGTAAGTGGCGATGAATGTTTCCAGGGAATAGAGGTGGGCCTCTTGTTCTTCACCAAGTTTGTGGTTTGAGTGGATTGCAGAAAGAGGGAAGGCACAGAGAAAGAATAGGAGCAGTGGTGGGAAAGTGAACCACAACCGCTGCTTTGCCAGTTACGCCTCAGCGTAGTAATGTCACACCTTGCTAGTGGTTTCCAAGAACGTCCCAAATACACATTTCTATTCCCAGCGCACATAGAACCATTTAAAAATTGCTGCCATGCCAGCCAGTCTGACAAACACATACATGGGGGAAGATTACTATATGTGTACCCTCAGAAACAAGTGCCTGGCAAGTACAGCATTCCCTAGACAGACTGCATTACAAGCCCTCCGATCACGTGCAAATACAGAGCAATTCATTGCCAGCATGCCAGAGTATGACACTGCGTGTTGCTGTTTCACAAATCAAAACCCAAGGGCTCTTTATCCTTACTAACAACCCAAAATAAAATTACGATTTGATATGAAGAAAAGACTTCACGATGAAGAGAATGAAACATTGGACCAGTTTTCCCAGAGCAACTGAAAACCCTGCCCAGGGAGGTTTTCAGGACCCAACCAGACAAAGCCCTCATCGACCTGCTTCTAGTTCAGTTCTGACTCCACTTTCA